AAAAAAACTTTAATACTGGCCGGTTACAGTTACATATCCTGCATCTCCACCTAAAATTACATTCTTATGTGGATGGTATGTATAAAAGGGAAATTTTGGTGTTATTTAGGAATCAACGTTTCAAGTCAATATCAGTAAATATCTTTAATATGACATTTTTCTGGTTTAACAGCTCAAGCATTGAAGGCACAAACTAATTTGAAAACACAAAAACTCACTTGCTGAAAAGTTGCTTGGACCAGGTTGGCTGGGAACATGTTGCTGATGGAGGAAAGAGAGGTTTTTTATGAATATTATTAAAGGACATTGGTAAAATAATCCATGTGACATCAGGGGTTCAACCATAATTTTACGAAGCTACGAGAATTAGGTGGCTTTTTGAAAAAAAAAAAAAAAAAAAGACTTTAATACGACTGGTTTAATTTATCACCTTGCAACAAAATGCCCTAAAGAACATAAAAAGTTAAATTATCCAAAATGAATTAAAGTAACTATTTTTGTTTTTGGTTAAATGAAAACACATGAAAAAATAATAATTTTGGTGCATCTTACTGTAATTGTGTAGCATTGGCTTCTTGACAATCTGTGTAAGATTTGATGTGGAGACCAGACATGCCTTCGTTGGAGATCATTCCGGTCAAGTGACAATCCTAAAGCTGGAGCAGGACAACTGCAGCCTGGTCACCACCTTTAAAGGCCACACAGGTGCTTACAACAGCTCATTACAACTTACAAACAGCACACTACAAATAGATACACAGTAAAATACACTCTTCACCATTAGCCCAGACACATTTTGCCATTAGATGGTCTATTGAGATTCACACATGAATTTGGAGAGGGAGTAAAATCTTTGCGTGGCAGGGGCAGCTGCTGTGAATTTGAGCACTTGAAGTGGGTAAATAAAATAAATACTTAATTAGGCTTCTTAGTTACAAAAAAAAAAAAAAACTCTCAGAACATTAACAAAGTGGTAGCATGAAAGCATGCATTCTATCAAGCAACAAATAGAAAACATGGCAAGAAGGGAAATCAATTGGTCAGCACAAACAAGCAAATTAACCAACAAACAAGCAAATTAACCAACAAACAAGTCTTAAGTGTACCAAGGGTTAACATTTAAATGACCTCCTCCAGTCATTCTAGTGTGGATGGCATCCCCTGGTGGCCTGGATGACAATACTATCATTTTTCCCACTGAGCAGCCTTAAAGTCCTCATAACCATAGGATACATGCATACATCCACAAAATACTGTATCATGGAAACCAGTATTCCATTACTTGTGCTGTACCTGACCCTGAATCTTTTAACGGTGGCTATGTGTGTGTTTATGTGTGCAGGCAATGTCACAGCCCTGTGTTGGGATCCTGTGCAAAGGGTTTTATTCTCTGGAAGTTCTGATCATTCAATCATCATGTGGGACATTGGAGGCCGTAAAGGAACAGCTTTTGAGCTGCAGGGACACAAGTAGGACAGATGAATTGTTGTCATGTATTTAAGATATGAGAATAAGCTAAGCATGCTTGCCAGGTCCTAGTATTTGAGTGTTTGTGTGTGTGTGCGACAGTGATAAAGTGCAGGGTTTGTGTTACGCTTCTCACACCCGTCAACTCATTTCCTGTGGCTCAGATGGAGGAATAGTTATCTGGAACATGGACGTCACACGGCAGGAGGTGAGAGAGATATAGTGAGGATGAAGCATCTAGTACATAAGGGATTGCCTCCATCAACAGGACATGTAGTATTTATGTTAGTTACATATGTGTGTTTACATAGTTTCAGCATGTCCTCATCTGTTCTGTGTCTCAGACTCCGGAGTGGCTTGACAGTGACTCGTGTCAGAAGTGTGAACAGCCGTTCTTCTGGAATTTTAAACAGATGTGGGACAGTAAGAAAATCGGCCTGCGACAGGTACAGTGCACAATAGCATTAATGTTACACTGCAAAAATAAAATAATAATTTATTAATCAGTATTTTTGCCTTGCTTTACAGTAAAATCTAAACATCCTTAAAACAAGATAAATTTAGTTGAGAAGCTAAATTGTGTAAGATAAGACTTTTTTATATAATATACACAATCATTCAAATATTTGGGGTCGGTAAGATTTTTAAAATGTTTTTGAAAGATGTCATGCTCACCAAGGCTGCATTTATTTTATTAAAAATACAGTAAAATGGTAATATTGTGAAATATTTTTCAATTTAAAAATACTGTTTTCAATTATATTATTATTTAAAATATGATTTATTCCTGCGATGACAAAGCTGAATTTTCAGCAGCCATTACTCCAGTCTTCAGTGTCACATGATCCTTCAGAAATCATTCTAGAAACATTTCTTATTATTATCAATATTGAAAATATTGTTATCAATATTGATATTTGTGCTGCTTGATGTTTTTGTGTTTTTTCAGGATTCAGTGATAAGTAGAAAGTTCAAAAGAACAGCATTTCTTTGAAATGGAAATCTTTTGTAACATTGTAAATGTCTTTACTGTCACTTTTGTTAAATTTATTGTTAAATTAAATTAGATACATTTAATTTAATTATCCTTGTTGAATCGAAGTAATGATTTATTTAAAAAAAAAAAAAAAATCTTAATGAACCCAAACTTTTCTTCGGTAGTGTACATTGAATTTTTAAAAAATATATCAAGTTTAAAAGTATATCTGGAATTATTTTTTAAAATATCTTATCATAAAATATATTTATATGAGAATTGTAAATGCATTAAGATAAGTATTTTCAGAAAATATGAATTAAATGCTTCTGATTAGGTTTGCAGTCCTTTATTCAGCCTTCAGCCCACACTTTAATATCATATAAAGCAGCTTGATTTTGCTCTTTCCCAGCATCACTGTAGGAAGTGTGGCCAGGCTGTGTGTGGAAAGTGCTCCTCTAAACGCTCCACTATTCCTCTAATGGGATTTGAGTTTGAGGTGCGGGTTTGTGACAGTTGTCACGACTCTATTACAGATGAGGAGTAAGTCAAATTTGGATTGTCATCAGTGTTTTGAGTCTCGTAAATAGTAGAATCACCTAAAGCTTTCTTTTTGTCCAGACGGGCGCCCACTGCAACATTCCATGACAGTAAGCACAGCATCATACACATGCAGTATGAACCAACCAGGGGCTGGCTGCTCACCTCCGGGACAGACAAAATCATCAAGGTCAGTAACTGTTCTCACTCAAATGTGAGTGTACCGTTTGATGATAGAAATTGAATTAGTTGTAATATCTGTGGTGTGTTCCCATTCAGCTATGGGACATGACTCCAGTGGTATCATGAGAATCCACTGCAAGCAGGAACTAAGAATCAGTGCTGAACCTGAACTGAGAACCATGTGTTTGTGGAGAACATTCAGAGTTCAGGTCACTTTCCATGGGCAGCTTCATATCATAGAGGAAAAACTCAAGGATATCGTGACATTGAACCGAGCATGTGCATTTGTATGTATTTGTGCATGTGGGTTATGGGAACAAATGTGTAAATATTGTGCAGTCTGAATCTGCTTATTTCAGGTTGTTTATATTGACGTAAACCAGTGTTGTTAATGTTGTCTGTGAAACTCTTCGCACTTATTCTATCATCATCATAGGTCTTATCCCAAACACAAATGAATCCTCGTAACATTGCATCAAAGCATGCTGGAACTGTTTTATATTCAAGTGCCTTTACCGCACTTCAATCTGGTGTTGGCATGGGAAAATAGTCTCTGCTATTGCCTTCTTGTCATCTATGTGACTCTTTAAATGTAAGCACTTAGTTTTACTGGTATTTCAATACCAGTAAATTTAATTGGAAGATTTAACATACATATAATCACAAATGTTACACAGGGTAAAATTCAATAATGCTTTATTGTAATAATATTGTGTTTGATCTTATTAAAGCTGATGTTTCATAGACATCTCATTACTGTAAGAAACATTCATGGTATTTCATTCTTTCATTGGATCAGAAAATGTGGTTTAAAACAAAATTCGACTATATTTGTCTGGCACAATTTTTGCTTTATGTTGAATCAAGCAAGTGGACATTTGGTTATTGTTGATAGCTCATTGTAAAGCCACAGCGGGCAAAACATTACAGCTGAATGGTCACAGGAAACAGATAAAACAGTAGGAATGGCACAAAATAAAGATGCTTTACTTTGTAACGGTGTAATTGCAAATGTGGAGGTTGGATTGCCTATTAGCTTTTAAAAAAGAACCAATTTGACAAAAATGTCCATTTGAAGGTACACTTCCATTTAAAAGTTTTTTTTGTGTTTTTGAAAGGAGTCTCTTCTGCTCACCAAATCTGCATTCATGTGATCAAAAATACAGTAAAAACAGTAATATTGTGAAATATGATTACAGTTTAAAAGAAGAGTTTTCTATTTAAATATATTTTAAAATATAATTTATTCTCTTGATAGCAAATTTACTCCAGTCTTCATTGTCACACGATCCCTCAGAAATCATTCTAATGTGTTGATTTGTTGCTCAAAAAACATTTGTAATGAATGAACCGTAACAAAAACAGTAAGTGCTGCTTAATATTTGTGTGGAAATAGTGACACATTTTGCAGGATTCTTTGAGGAAGAAAAGCATTTACTTAAAAACTTTTGTAACATTACTTTTGATCTTGATCAATTTAATGGATCCTTGCTGAATAAAAGTATTAATTTCTTTCAAAAAAAAAAAAAAAATCTTACCTACCCCATACCTTCGAACAGCAGAGTAAGTGATAATAATTGTCACTGGAGCAACACTGATTCTTTTACTGTTTGTAATGGTTCTTTACTTCTATGAATATAAACCATTTCAAATCCCATGGTTTAGTCTCAACTACCAGCTCACGTAAACATCACAAACACGATTTGAATTTTATCAGTTGTTTTGGTCAAAAAAATAAATGTTAATAAAACTGGAAACATAAAATAATGATGTCCCTAAAAGATTGAGACAGATTAATTGTTCATTATCTTTAATGAATCATGTCAGTAGCAACGAATTGACAAAAATGAAAAGAGTTATTTTTTAGTAGTAGTCTTTTATTTTTAGTAGCTATTTTCACATTTATTTGTTTAATTTGAATACAAGTTGTAGGTAGTGCTGTATAGCATGTTCTTAGACAACTATTGAGTCTTGATGGCTTTTTTTTTTGGAATAGTAGTTTTAGATTTATGAATAAAATAATCTGCTATTTCCATATTGCAAAAGTTGTCTAGTATAATAAAAAAAATCCTTAGGAGTGTATTTGTTCGAAGAATAGACAATAGGTTTTAAATATTTTAAACATTTCAGGTTGTTTTGGGTAGTCTTTTTGTTATAGTATTCATGAGCTTTTCACGTCTCTGCAATTCTCACCGTTGTTAAGAATGAATAGCATAGTCTCTGTGTGGAATGATGGCTTCTTTGGATTTGGCCACTAACCCAACCGATTAACTCTTGAATTTCACAGCGAGCTCCTCCAACTCACTCATCAGCTTCTGGTCTTCAGCTGGAGAAGTCCTGGAGGAGGCCAGTGGCAGATGCGTAGAAACCGCTTTTCTGTCTGCAGATGAATCAGTTTGAGAAACAGAGGTCAGAGTTCAGTTACATGTTAAAGACAGCTTTAGTCTGCTATGCAGAGACATGTTCGTTATTTCATTATTTTACAGAGACACTTTCACATTTTATAAAGATGCCTGACCTTGGAAGAAGAGGCCGCTGGGCTGTCTGCTGGCAGTATCTGATATGGCCAGCCACACCACTGTGTCGGCACCTTGAGCTTCAGTACGGAGTTTATTCTTCATTTTCGCATAAAAATCTGGCATGGATGACCGCACCGCTGTAGATGGAACAAAAACACAAAAAAATATCTTATTGACTAAGATCAATCAAGATATTTACTCGCAGCTGTACAGTACACACACACTGCCCACCTGGGGTGTCTGCCCAGCCTGGGTGCATGGATGAGAAGTGGACTTCTTTGTGTTGAGCTGCCCATTGCTCTGTCATGATCACCTGTTGCCTCTGAGAAAGGTCACAGTTAACAATGAATAACTCCAGCATCTTTACAAAAAACATCAAAAACAATACGGTAAAATTGAAGAAAAAAACCCCTGCATAAACAAAAACATGAGGACAGTAAATCAGGTGGCATGAGCATCAAAACGCTCACCATAATGACAATTATAATGGTCAATGTAACAAAGGCAGAATGGTGATGCTGCTGGAATCTGTGCCACTGCTTTGTGCTATTATTTTTAACAGTGAATGATGGACTGGATTGGTAAGCCACCAAAAGTATGATGGCTACATTTTTGCATGTTTTGTAGTTGGTGAATTTTTTAAGCCAAACAGTGCAAAGTTTTTACTGATTTGTACTGGGAGTGGTTTATAGTAGTACCTTGTTCTGTGCATAGGCCATGGTGCCGTCAAAAGAGCCTTTCTCGAACTGAAGGTCCTCTACATTTAACTTCTGAACCAGCATCCCACCAGATGATACAGTGATCTGTAATAAAAAAAAATCATTATAAAAATAAATGAACATACAAAAATAATAATAAATAAAATAATTTCTCTGCAACTTTCACTACTAATAAAAATAATGATTGAAATGAAATAATGAAGTAAAATCAAAATAAGAAATATTTTAAAATAATAGAACAATAATAATAAAGTTTTGGGGAAGTTCTGTTTTAACATTCATAAACATGTCACTAAAGTCATGCATTTCTGTTAATGTGTGAGTGTAAATGTGTTTGGAACAGAAATATATGGTGGCACTGTCCCTTTTTGCAAACAGCACGCGTTTATTACATTGCTTCACACCCACCACTCTGGGATTCTCTGACTTCTTCAGTGTAGGAATCAGTGCTGTTGTCAGTATATATGTCCCTGTAAAACACACAAGAGGAGTGAGCCGACCAGTCACTCTTATCTCTTCTTATCCCTTGACTTTAAGAGGTGGCACTAAAAACATTCTTTACCAAAGGGGTGGCCTCTGACCTTTGTAACTCAATCTTATAAAACAGGCAAAACTAAAATATTGCAGTAAAAGCTAATACTTTGTTGTCCATGTTGGAAAAATCTTAACATATGACCAACATCAGATGAATTAATTCAACATGAATTAACTTTCCTACCTAGTGTGTTTGTCGCAAAGTTTTTCTCCAGGTCATCCTCAGTCAGTTCTCTCTGATTGACCATGCAACCTGCATTATTGATCTACGGTAATAAATCACGTGAAGATAAAACACAAAGGGCTGAACAATACAAGCAGAGACAGCATAACAATGTACATCACTGTCAAAGCAGTTGTAAAATGACCATAAACAGACATGACTGTACATGCTATATTAAATGTGCCATGCTACTAATGGAATATATTACTTGGGGGAAGATGAAATATTGGTTTCTTTTTAAATTATTTCGAATAATTTAGAATGATGAAGAATAAATTACTGTTACTGTATACAATTGATTGAACAATTTTATCATAGTGCAGCTACCCCCACATTATAACAGCAATATCCATGTGCATTACCGTGATTTTACTTGCACAGCCTCTGGCGGCTTATTGTTTCAGCTTATTATTGTAGGTTGACATGACTTAAACATTACATTTACCAGAACATGTAGATTGTGATTCTGAGAGAATCCACTAGCAAACTCCCACACTTTCCTGGGGTTGGACATGTCAACTAAGTGAACATGGACATTCTGAAAGCAAATGAGAGACAAACTCAGACTAGAGTCCACTGCTTCTGTCCCAGAAGCATGTGAAATAATGATTTAAAGCATATAAATGTACTTCTGAAAATATACCTCATTTTTACTTTGCTCCACAACGTCTTTTCTTGCCTCCTTTGCACGATCTTCATTTCTGCACACCAGATGTACTGTCCCACCTGAAGATAAACCGTGTGAATGAACTTTGCTGTTTTTTTTTATCAGCACTGCACATCATTTGTCAGTAGGAGTCACTGTTGCGTCCCTTTTGTTGGTTAAACTTGTACCTAAATGTCATAACAGGGTTTTGATTGAATGTACAAGATCTTCCAAGTTGACCAGTCATTAAAGAACAAACTATAACCAGAAGTCTCTGTTCTGAATGAACAAAGCCATGTTTTCTCACCTCTTTTGGCGATTTCGCAGGCGGCGGCTCTACCGATGCCGCTGTTCGCTCCGGTGATGATGAACGAGCGGCCGCTCACATTCACCTCCAGATCCGCCTCGCTGAAGCTCCTCGCCGCTGCCTCATAACCGCCCCTGACGAGGGTTAATGAGATTTTACCTGGTGTGCATTGCAGAAACTTTCGATGGTAAATGACCGTCTATGATTTGTGCTTATCAAAGTGTTAGGCAAGCTGAAACGAAAATACACCGATGATGACTTACTTCGTATATTCCTGTAGACCCTTCAGTAACCAAACTGTGTTTCGGTAAAGAGACATCGTTACGATTTCACTCGTTTACACCATAGACTGTATAAAAACAAGCTTGCACTCAAGAGCGGTGTCACTAGCACGTTGGAAATCTGAGCCACGCCCCTGTGGCGTTTAATAACAGATCACGTGCTGAATGTGTGGTAAGCGCGGGTTATAACACGCATGCGCAGACCCCTTTGCTACGCTTGCGCTTCATAAAACGATAAACGCGTTCTTTGTTCATTGAAAACTTAAATTTTGTGCACTTATTTGAAATAGTTTCTAAAACATAAACGAAAAGCTGAAATAATTCGAATCTGATTCTACCATATAACGTTACTGGCGTTTTATTTAGGAAAGTCGAGTGTACCAACCTTAGTATTTTTACAAATTCGCACTGGCGCGCAAGTTTTTGCCGTGAACGCTCTTTCAGAGAACAATAGTCACAGTTGTTATAAATATGGATAGCGACACATTTCCCGTAGTTTGTAGTTGTCAGGATGGCCGAGTGGTCTAAGGCGCCAGACTCAAGGTTGAACCCTTCCCAGTAAAATATGGGTCTTCTGGTCTCCGAATGGAGGCGTGGGTTCGAATCCCACTTCTGACAGGACTTTTTTTATGTTCATTAAAGGTGGGTTTCTATTTCTACATAAAATGTGTTTGATTGTGATTTAAACTGTAAAATGTACCCAGGACAGGCAAGGTGAGGTTAAAAAAATAATAGTGTAAAATAAATAATGTTTTATCATTTAGAGGATCAGAATTTAGGTGTCAGGAATGACAGTAGGCTAATTTCTCTCTCATTGCACTGCTAATGTATTCCAATAAAATATAATTTAATCCTGTTTTAAGTGTTTTTAAATGGTTCAGTGGTCTTTCTCCTCACCAATTCTTTCATCAGTTTTGAGAGACATGCAGTTATGTTTGTGGATGTCTTAGATTTCAGATAATGAGTAATAGCCAACAGTTACACAAATACAACTCCATTTCCAAGCCAGGTCAAGCTATTATCCGTAAGTTCATCAGTATGTAGCTACATAAAGCAGCTGATAAAAGTATACTCTTGTATTGGACTGCAATGGCTTTTAAACACCTCGAGATGGAAAAAAAAGGCAATTAAATTTGTACAAAATGCAGACATATCTTGAAAAATGAAAGTTTCATATAATAATAATAATAATGCATATTATGTTAAAACATTCCGCACGTCACGAAATAAATATCATGGTTTTAATTTACACTATTACCAAATAAACTTGTTTTTAAGCGTGTTGTCTTAAATGTTTGGTCTGAGAAAAATGACAATATTCTTTGCTATAAAGATTAAAAATCAGATTGTGCACATATGATAGATATCAACATATTTTACGTTAAAAGGAAAATATTAAACTAGCTAAATAAAGACTAAAAACCTTAAAGCTATTATAATCTATCATTTTAACGAATGCGTATTCTTCTTCTTGTTGTTTAAGCTAAATAAAGAGATAATAAAAAGCGTAAAGCTATTATAATCTATCATTTTAACGAATGTTGATTATTTTTCTTCTTGCTGTTCAAGCACGTTTCTTTCAAATCACACAAAACTAAGTTCATCCAAGTGAAAAAAATCGCCCTGCAATAAATCTCGGCCACTCACTCTGCATCAGCAACTATTTAATGCGACTTCGGCTACCTCCATGAACAGATCGCTTTCAATTTGCAATCACTTGGTTTCGAGGCAGATCCCGTCTGTCAACTAACTGCACTAATGTACTATTTCTCACACATAGAAAAGGGTGGAATTTAGGCGTGTCTACTTCGAGGTTGGCAGGTAAAAACCCAATGGATGGGAAACACGGAAGTTCGCAAAAACTGCCAGCTCCTCCACAATCACAGTTGGTTTAATGGAGATGAACTAAACACGACGGGTCACCGGGGATGCTGAGCGCGTCACGGTAAACGGTTTGTTCACTCTTTCGATCTGATGGTTGGATTTGATAGCTCAGATAGCCTGGAAAACCAACCCCAGCACAAAGATCGACAGGCGATGCATCGTCTTTGATGTGGATTCAGACTTCTACTACGTATCTGCGTCTACGTTTAAATCAATAACCAGGTTCCAGAGTCACAATGAGTGCTGCAGTCAGTGGGGGTCAAGAGCCCTCCATCTCTACTGGAAATCCAGGACTCAGTGTAAAGGATGTCAACCAGTTGATCATGGAGTTCCTGATGTTCATGATGAGAGCGATTGTCCTGTGCTATCCTGTATACCTGACCGGCTCGCTTGGACTCAGCATAAGCTGGATTCTCCTGAGCATGCTGATGTGGACCATGTGGAAAAACAACCGCAGGTGGAAAGATCAGAGGATCGATACAGCAATTGACTTTTTGGAAAACGAGAAGGACGTGATCAGCACTGAACTCAAAGCTATGAACATGCCAGCTTGGGTGGGCGGTCTTTTTGGCATGTTTACTGACCTGGAATAATAAGTTAAATGAAGTGATCTGTGCAACATGTATTTTAAGTAGTTGCAAAGATGTAGTAGGCTATGTTGCTGGGAAAACACTCTACTGTACTTTATTATATAGATACTTAGTATCCAAGCAATACTAGATGGTCATGAATTGTATGAGGTGTGGCTTCTCGTTGTATTGCTTTGGGAACATCACAAACAAAGGTGTCGGCTTGAGTTTCTTAATTAAAATACCCAGCCCTTCATACTTTAAAACAAGAATCTGACACACCCTTTAATGTGGTACTAAAGTTGAAAGACATATATCAAATGGATGATGTTGTTTATTGGAACTGCAAAGTTAAATTTTATAGTATCCAGCTTTTATGTTGCTACAGTTCTCAAGATTTTTATGTTTACAAACTCCAGTATAACCCTGAAGGGGTAGTTCTCCTAAAAATAAAAACTCTGCCATCATTTACTCCCCTTTATGTCATCCCAAACCAGTATGACGATCTTTCTTCTGGGAAACACAGGAGATGTGCTGCCTTTAGATATTGGAAGAATGCTAGAGACAGCATATTTGAATTTAAACCATTTTTATTTTGGTGTCAACTATCCCTTTAACCCTTTGTGACAAAAATAGTCATGCTGTTTCAGGTTGTCAGGTTGCTTATTGTCTTCTATATAAAATATCTGGGTGATATCGCGTACCTGATCTTCACAGTTGATTTAGATATTATAGATTACTGGCCACAGATATCATGACACCATAAAATAAAATTAAAAATGCCCCTTGAACCCTCTGAACTTTTTAGGGATTGATCTAATTCATAGTTCATAAAAAGCTGAAAGGAAAACAGAATTATATGGAATTTGATATGCTGAAAATTATATTTAAGCAAGTTGCAAGCAAGTGTTTTTGATTTCTAGACAAGCGAACCTTAATTTTGTGGTGAAATATTAATTATTTGTCTCTGTTCCTTATTTCTTTATTTTGTCCCCGATAGATACACTTTGCAGATGTTGAGAAGGCTGCTTGGATCAACAAGGTAAGATTTCTCAAATGTTGATTTGCACCTGTCATAATGCTGGCAAATCTCATAAATTTGTCTGCCTGTGGGAGTTTAAATTGTACTATTTCAGTATTTTTGCTGCTAATGCATGTCTATAATAAATGTGCTTGTTTGTAGATTCTTCAGCAAGCATGGCCGTTCTTTGGCATGTACATGGAAAAGCTTCTCATTGAAAACATTCAGCCATCTGTCAGATCGTCCAGCCCCCATCTGAAGACCTTCACCTTTACTAAAGTTCACATGGGACAGAAGGTATGATTTCGTAATCTGAGGCTCGGTGCCCTTAACTGCCAATAGGCCGTAGTAGCCCACTATTATAAATATTTCAGCAGTCAAATAAGAGCTTACAATTGTGTATTTACATTTCAGGCTCCAACTATTACAGGGGTACGGGTGTACACACATGAGCTGGAAACAAGAGAGGTCATCCTTGACCTCAACATTACGTGAGCTGTGACATAGAACTTCATTTTGACACCAGATTATCTTGCAAACCCATATATGACTGATATAATGTGTGGTTTTGCTACCATATATGTTCCTGAAATGTTTTAAGGCTCTCTTTCCTTTCATCTCCTGTAGTTATGAAGCTGATGTAGACATTGATGCAGATGTTAAACCAGCCATCAAAGTTGGAGTCAAAGGCCTTCAGGTTAGTGAAGGAATAGCTGAATTTAATGACAATAGATGGTATTTTCTTCATTTGATATTTAAGAGTTGCCTTTAATGTCAGGCATGGTCACGTTTGTGATAGTCACAATACCGTTTAAAAGTTTAGGGTTGTGAGAAGTCTTTAAAGACTTATGCTCGCCACAGCTGTATTTATTTGCTTAAATATACAATAAAAGTAGTAATAATGTGAAATATTATTGCAATTTAAAATAACTGTTTTCTCTAACTATTTTAAAATTAATTTATTTCTGTGATGGCAAAGATTAATTTTCAGCAGATATTATTCTAGTTTTCAGTGTCACGTGGTCCTTCAGAAATCTTTGTTGGTTTGGTGCTAAAGAAACATTTCTTATTATTTTCAGTGTTTTCAAAAAAAAGTTGTCTTGCTTGATTCTTTTGGAAACTGCTACTTTTTTTTTAGAATTCTTTGATGAACAGAATGTTCAAAAGAACAGCATTTATTTAAAATATAAATATTTTGTAACATTATAAATGTCTTTACTGTCACTTTAATCAGCATAATGCATTCCTGCTGAAAAAAAGTATTAATTTCATATTAAATAAATATATCTGTCTGTCTGTCTGTCTGTCTGTCTATCTATCTTACTGACCCTTACTGAGTCTCCACAGCACAGCAAAGTGAATGTATAAAACGTTAATGAATATGAAAGCAACTAAGAACTATGAATGTGTTTGTTTTCTTTTAAGCTTCAGGGAATGCTACGAGTAATTCTCGAGCCTCTGATTGGCCAGGCACCTCTTGTAGGTGGAGTCACCATGTTCTTCATTCGTCGTCCCGTGAGTATGGACATTACATGCAACTGGCTAGTTTAAAATAAAAAAAATAACAAAAGTGTCATGAGTTCATTAGCAAAACATGAACATTTTAAATTAAATTCTCAGGCTCTGCAAGTCAATTGGACTGGAATGACCAACCTTTTGGAT